CTCCTACAAACTCCCACATTTTGACTGAAGCCTGGTTTATTCTCAGAAACCAGGTCGTCTGCGTCTTTGTCGCAGTTAACAAAGGTATGATTCCCCCGCCCCTCAACAGACACTCTGTTGCACCTCCCCAAAACTGTAGGTGACCGTAGACGCCGCAGACAAGAGGCTTCTGATTGGTCAATTCTACACCCACTCTACACTATGTCCTGTTTGGTCCCTAATGGCAGAACTCTGGGTGTAGCGCCGTCCACAGCGCCTGGCTCACCTCGGACTCTATCCGAGACACCGTGCAGGACGCTAGTTTGTAGCTCTGTGCGACGGTCTGTTGGTTCGCACCCGAAGCCAAAACACGCAGCGCCACGGCCAGTCTTTGGGGAACACTCACGGGGGAACCGTGTGACGTCCGGCGTTGGATGAGAGGTTGTAGACGGCGAACAAGCTCATCACACGGACACCCACTATCCCAGCTAGTTCTTGCGTTGTGGAATAACAGAGCGCAGACCACGCTTCAATATTGGCCATAAATCTAAATATCTGCGTCGTACCTGCGACAAGCTAACTGCGACACACTGCTGCCGGAGGATAACCAGCCCTTGAGGCTGTTTAAATGCCTGTCAAAGTTCTCGTGTGGTCTGAACCATTTACCGAAGCGCTCACCTGGTTTCACAGTAGAGAGGCTTCAGACATCATCAATTTTGGCCCCTCCTCTAAATGAATCACGCCTCCACACGCACTTCAGGGAAACTCCCCCCTCCATTACTCAACACACACCTCTAATGCCTCGGCTCATGTCTTAACAGCATTAAGGTTGTGTCCAAACATTCGTCCTGACCTCTGACCCCTCCATCATTATATAGTGACCCCAGTTGCCTGATCGTTCAGATGGATCTACAATAATCTTCGCGCCGCATTCATTAGTCATGTGACAAGAAGCTCCTGCAAAGCATTCTGGGATATATCTGCTCGTATAGTGACCATGGATGATCACTTCTTTTCAAGGTGCATTGTGGGAAATTTTTCATCCACTACTTCTCCATTCCCCGCTGAAAAGATGGCATATAGATGGCGAACATTCAGACACGGTCATGGGAACAGAGAGCTAGTCCACAGTTGGCGTCCTCATCAAAGACAGGAAGTGGCAGTAAAATCTGACGGTGAATCACAGCGACGTCNTTTAGTGTCTGTGCCACATCAGACTGATCCTGCAAAAGCATGCCATTGTTCTTCAACTGTATTAAATTGTTACTGGAAACAGTTTTACCTGTTAATTTATTAATCTGTTCCCAAATAGCTTTTGGGTTTCCATGACAGTTTTTAATAATTGTGATAAAAAATTATTTGACTACACAGATTTGACTATACAGTATCTTACAGTATACCTTACCATAGTTGCTTATAGTCTCTGCTCACAAAGACCTCTACTGTATTTAGGAACCTCGGTTCTAATGTGAAAGGTACAATAAAACAATGACTTCAGAAATATTTCAGGTTTTTATTAGTTTTCCCAGAGTTCCCCCTTTAAATATTTTCCAGGGGCTTTTCCAGGTAAGATCAGAGATTAACAAACATGAAGACAATGACGTGGAAAAAAAGTATTCAACTCTTGATCCACGTTAAATAAACGGAGGTCGATGGATTTCACTCAGTTGGCACATTTATTCATATCTTTGCAAAGAGAGAACAGATCATCATACAGCCCTAATGGCACAGCAATCTGCTCTGTTCTGCCTGAACAGCGTTTGTTCCTCCTTACTTGCAATAATGGAAAGTAGTCAGAGTCAAAACAAATTACAGACACTTTGGTTAAACAGTAACATGTTATGAATAAACCTTGAGAAAGAATCTGGTTTGTTATGGGAAGAAGCAATGTCTGGTCTACAAACACCATCTTGCAGGGAATGGTGTGGCCTTCAAGGTGAAAAAGACTGAGTGAAAACTTTTATAGTGAGGGAATAGAATAAATTAATATATAATAGAAGAGAAATCAAAATTTTCCGACAGCAACATAAAGAAAAACAACAAATTTTTATAAGATGCAAAAATGAGCTGCCCTCCACCAACCATGACCATCTTCTTTAGGCTTAGCCCTAAGAAAAACCGACCCTTAGAGGCTGACGCTGTTCTCCACCACCTTGGGGTCTAGGTATGTGTACGGCAGATCCAGATGTTTGTTTCAGCTGCTCTTTGATCATCTTTATCTCCTGGAGTGGAGCAGTGGAGTAGTGTTGATGGCAGGAAACGTGTCCAGCAGCGTGGCTTCAGTAGCGTTTCCCTTTCTAGATGGTGGTGGACGTTCCAGAGAGACTGGGGTGTTGGGCATCCAGCCAATGAAATCGTACTGCAGGAAAAAACCGACAGGTGACACACCCACCTGTTACAGCTGCTTTGATAATACATTTGAATAAAAATGCACGAACTATAATTTTCCTGAAACATACATCCTAAATATTCCAAAATGTACATCATTTGTTCTTTCTAACTGTTGGACGCTTTCCTGCAATGAACCTTACATCAGGTCACCACAGCAGTTTTTCCAATAACATCCTTTTTCACATCGAAAACTAGTTCTGGAAGTGGCAAAACAGAATGACTGCAAATAGCTTTTATAAAACAGGTGTTTCCCTTTCTTAAATGTGATTGGCTGAGAGGCATTTCATCTCTGTTGTAAAATATAGTGTAACGTACAAACATTAATGCTGGTCTGGTAGATCACAGAAATCTGTATTTGCTGATCACAGATTCAAGCATCAAATCCATAAATCATTTTATGCTGTTGTCTCCTTAACATTACATTATAAGGTGTAAAATTAGGAGATGAGAAAGTATCATGATAAAAATGGAAAATAGAGAAAATGAAGTTGACTTAGGATTAAATAATGAATGCTCTAATGAGGTTTGTGAGCAGCCTTTAAACAAGCCATTTTAATTTAGTCCTAGGATTGTTTCTTCGTCCTACCTCCAGCCTGGCCTCCCTAAACTGCCACCTTAACGCAGACTGCCTGGATAGAGACTAATGATAGACTTTGTGGTCATATCATCTTACCTCCGGCCGCATGTCACACTTGGGTGAAGAAAGGTGTGGAGCTGTCCACCGAACCCCACCTGGTGGTGAGATAAATATGCTGGAAGCGGAGGACAGACTTGGCAGTGAGGGTCTGCTGGGAAAGTTTGGTGGAGCCCTTGGTCAGGGACGTGTTCGACTCCCACCTCACAGAGATTATTTTAAATTCAGGGGGAGTTCAGAGACATGGAATCTCAGTGGACCATATTCTCTGCCGCTATTGTTGATGCAGCCGCCCTTAGCTGTGGCTGTAAGATCTGCAGAGCCTGTTGGGGCAACATTCCCATTCAGGGAAGATCTGGACTCCAGACCCATAAGTGATGTCTACCTTTTTCTGGTGGAAAAGCTACTTACCTACAGATCTCTCCATTGTTTGCCAAATTTATTCCCCGAAGAGAACATTAGAATCTTTACATCATCTCATCCATGAAGGTCACCAACTGGATTGTTAGTGTCCAGTCCTTGTCTGCTGAACAGACTAGGACTAAAACGCCTCCCTAAAATTCTATTCTATTCAGTTTATTTCTATAGCTCCAATTCCCATCATGTCATCTCAGGTCACTTTCCAGTTCACCAGATCATCCAGTCAGATTGATTCAAAGTTTTCTATCTAAGGAAAACCAGNATCATCAATGTTTTCAGGATCTGCTAATGAGATCAAACCTGATCCATAAATGTTATTCCATTCATCAAGACTTCCTGTTTCTTTTTTATATATTTCAACCCTTTTGTTTATTCAATGAATTGGCCAAAGAAACGTGATGATGTCGCATTTTTAGCATATTAGAAGTTTATTCCTTAATAAAATGGCTGCTTATGGATTGATTGTTGATCAGATCAATCAACTTCAGGTGAACTGGTTCATTGGTTACATCAGTAGTTCTGTAGGATCTGGATGCTGGTTACGGGTCGATTAGTTGTTCCTCAGACATGAAGTTCTGTGAGGTTTCTGGGTCTGAGCGGCTAACTGGACCCAGTGGAACCACTGATTGACCGCTGTTGAACCGGGTCCAACCTCTGCAGGAACCTGATGACGCCACAGCCAGCGTTGGATGGTCCTCAGCCGGATGTCCAACCAGGTCTAGTGTTTGAAGAGGAGCTGAGAACCTGACCTTCTGCTTTCCCTACAGGATGTCCACCACATCCCAGAAGCATCGGGATTTTGTGGCAGAACCAATGGGAGACAAACCGGTGACGGCGCTGTCGGGAATCGGAGAGACTCTGGGGAAGAAGCTGGAGGATCAGGGCTTTGACAAGGTAAAACCCAGAGGAGCCTTGGATCTGCTGCTTCCTCCCAGAACAGATGTGAGGTTCAGGTTCTGCTCCGACAGCAGAACCACAGCCTGCTGCTGCTGGACTTTACATCAATGTTCTGAACCAGGAAGGACTCGATCGTTTCCTGTTGTAGGTCTAAACATTCATGTAGAGGATCTTTAAATCCATCCTGAGGGTTTGGGTCAGAACTTTAACAGGTCCATTTGGTATTTTGGTGCAAACGTTGGTGTTTTGTCTTTAGTTTTTTTTGTCCCAGAATCTTATCTTGTTCGGTTCTGTGTTTCCAGGCCTCTGTGGTTCTGGGTCAGTTCCTGCTGCTGAAGAAGGACACAGAGATGTTCACTGATTGGCTGAAAGATGCCAGCGGCGCCAACTCTCGGCAGGCTGGATCCTGTGCTCAGTGCCTGAAGGAGTGGTGTGATGCCTTCCTGTAAGGCCCGCCCCCTGTCCATGAAGCCCTGCCGCTTCATCACCCACTCTAAGTGCCTTAAGGTGTGGGACTCCACCCCTCTAAACGAGCCCCGCCCACCCTTCCCTCGTTAACCTTCTGCTGGTTCCTGTCTTCATTAAAGTGCTTTGATCTCCGCTCTGAGTCTTTCTCTAGTGCTGAATTCACAATAATTGATTTAATCAGTCTAAATAAAATGGACAATTAATTAGCTTTGCAATAAACTCAGATTTAATGTGACAGTTTTCAAACTGCAGAGACGTTTAATTTTGATCGCAAAATTGGGAGACTAGAACACAGACCAACCTGCATCAGTTCAAACATGACTCAAAGTTGCTTTTTATTCTTGAAATGATGGGTCTTTTTTGAACAGCAGTAATAAAGACATTCTTGAGAAAAAGCAGGTTTTATTCTATTCTATGTGTTCTACATCATTTTAACCACAAATGCAGAAAATTTCAGACCTTTAGCTCCAACAGTTCCAGAGCTGTGGGGTTTGGAACTTCTGGTGTCAGCTTGGAGCTGCGCTCAATGGCTCCATCTGCTGGTAAAACATTTTACCGGTGGAATTTTATGCATTCTGAGTTATTACCTCCACTTAAAACCAACTGGTCCGCCGACGATGTGGTGGGCTTTAAGGTGTTAACAAGACTTTCTCACTCCAGCCTTTTAGACGGTGTTAAGTTTAAAGGAAAAGTGGTGGGCTGAACTATAGAGATAGCTATATAGTTATGCTTAACATATATAGTTATAGTTAACCAATCTTTCAGTATTTTCTCTGTAAAGCGCTTTGCTGTTGAATATAGAAATAAACTGAATAGTTTTTGCATTCTGGATGTAGACCATTCCAAAAACAAGGTGCTTTTGGGCTGAATGCTCTTCTCCCCACAGAGGGTCAGGTGGACTGACTGCCATGACTCTCCGATCCATTGTTGCCATGGTTACTGTGGTCAGGCTTATCTGGATTATTTCATCCATCCAGTAATGAAAGAAGAGGAGTTGTGTATAGTGCCCTTTGTTTCAAACGATGTAAAAAAAAATGTTCCTCCTAATGTCCGCTGGGCGGGAAGCCAGTTTGTTCTTAAGGGACATTTTTTGTTGTCCTATTTTTGTTTTTTAAGTATTTGCTTAAATACTTTGCGCCTGTTGACCACCGAATAATTCTGATCATTTTCACATCGGATCGTTTTGTTATATTATTTGCTTTTTTAATTGTAAAGTCTGTGGAGTAACTGATCTATCAGCCGGTCTCCAACCCAAACCCCCAGCATAGCCTCCATATCTGGAGACTTAGTTCATATCTGTGATTTAATTCTTCTGTTTTTAATTTGCGTCTATCCTGGTTTAAACTTCCTTTTGGCTCAATGTTTGATTCTATCTGTTTGTGATCTATGGGAGCCATTCAGAGGCTCAACATGAACAGAAAAGGCATCAGCCACGTCTACAGGATGAGTCTTTATCATCTTTACCAGTTTAGCTGCATTGAAGAGCTTCTTTTTAATTCATTTTAATCCCAAAATAACGTCTGACATCATCAGGCTGCTCAGAATTACACAGCTTGAATAAAAAGATGCTAAATCTTTATTAACAGATGAAGTGTACAAAAATCAAACATTGGAATCAGGGATTTATAGAACGTCTAAAACCAAAACATTTTAAATCTGGGAAGGACTCATGGTGCGGCTTTCAGCCAATCAGGACGCAGGCCTTCGTCTCCAGATCCACCAATGCAGTTCTGAGGAGTCCAAAGGCGTCATGTGACCCTGGAGGACGGAGGGAACCTGAGGGGACCTGAGAGAACCTTCCACAGCGGGACAACAGGCCGTCCTCAGAGGGAGGTCCCAGAGCGGAACACCAACCAGCGAGCGCCGCTTGTTAGGAGCAGGTGATGATGCAGGAGATCAGGGTGGATGGAGGAGGACATGGATGTTCCCTCAGTTCCTGAAGGCTGCAGTGATCTTCATCACCGCGTCTGATCCATGTTCTTCTAAAGGAGACCCGTCCCACCAGCTGCAGGGACGGACGTTCTCCACCATCTCCTGCAGCTGCCATCATCACCATCACCACAGAAAAATGTTTCTACATCCAGAGAAGAAGAAAAGGAACCAAAGGACGGTTCTGCTGGTTCTGACCAGGAGAACCTCTGGATCCTCCAGGAGCAGCTGGAGAACGTAGAGCTGGACAGAACTCCTGATCTGGATCCTTTGGTTCAGAGTAGTGGAGTTCCTCTGGACTCCAGAGATCCAGAACCTCCCAGTGGTCCATAAGAACCGACCCGGACCTTTCAGAGCTCTGCAAAAACAGGAAGTGATGTCACAGGAGCATCTGGTTCCTGCTCAGGTGAAGGGAAGAGGCTGCTTCCAGAACCTGGGCCCGTTCTGATGCAGAACTATCCAGTGGTTCTGGTTCATTGTCTCCCCAAGGCCTCCAGATGTTGGAAGGTGGCCCCCAGGGCCCAGCTGGTCTCCACCCGGCCGATGGTCCGGGCCAGCTGTGACGGGTCAAACAGCAGAATCAGAAACAAACTGGGTCACAGATCGGTTCCGGTTCTGGGGGTCCAGACTCACCCTGAGCTGCTTGTGAGGCGGGAAGCCGAGCTCCTGCAGCAGGACGGAGATGTAGACCAGGTCCAGACAGAGGAAAGGGCTCTTCTGCGGCTCCGCTGGAGCGCCGCACTCTGCAGGAAACAGCTGGTTAGAGCCGTCCAATCACAGGACAGGAGCGGGTCATATGGTCTACAGCAGGAGCCCCATGAGGGAGCAGAACCAGAACCATGTGGGCTGCAGCTGGAGAACATCTGGGTCAATTGAGCCTCTAATGCTACGTTCAGAGCGAACGCAGCAGCAGCTAAAACGCCATGCTGCTTCATTTCTGATGCGGCTGAAGCATCTTTGCTGCTCTGATGCTGCAGGAACTTTTTCTGCACCTTGATGCATCAACCATCAACCTTACATGGAAACCAGCTGATTCTCCTGCCTGCGGTCTGAACGTAGCGTTAGGATTCCAGAACGGACCGTCAAATGTAAGCTGGATTGTCGAGTTTTCAGTCTCACAACAAATCAACGTTGAAAGGCTCCCGCTAATATGTCCGCCTCATTACAACCAGCTGGTCGGACCAATGAGATGCCAGCGTGTTTTTAGGGGCGGGGCCTGGAGGAATGACAGCACTCTGAAGGGCCTTGGCGGGGCATTACAAACATGGCTACGATGGAGGACTCACCTGTCGATGCCGCGTTTGAATCAGTTATAGATGGAAAGATGTCTGCGCTTTTCTCAGGACAGGATTTGGAAAAAGTTTGATTTATCAGCTAGTTGTTAAAACACTGAAGAAGCTGCAGATGAATCCGATTGTGATGCTGTGATTGGCTGAAAGCATATTATGGAGGGCGGGTACTAGCTGGCACATCAGCCAATCAGCTCACAGTATTCCACTAACGTCCCTCCTTTTCACAGACAGGCTGAGGGCAGCCATCCCAGGCTGATAACGCAGAACTCAGTTCTACGCATCAGTACATCTACCAGGCCCTCCCTCCCTGTCTAACCCTGATGTTCTGGTTCTGCTGGTCCCATCTGGACCTTTCCTGCAGAGAAGGCCCAGAAATACCGTAAATCCTCTAATAATGGCCTGTATTCCATTAGTGGCCGGGTATTAGTGGTCGTATACAGGCCGGGGCTATGATTAGAACCAACCAGTCCTCAACAGCCTGTAGTAGTAACATACAATTACCACAGGGGGGCAGTGTTTGCTAATGAATCCAAGCCATTAACATGTAAGGTCCCATCCTTACAGAGATCATAGTCGCCCCCATCATCCTGATCCACAAGTGATGAGGAGATTATAAGAGAGATGAAGAGGAGGAGGAAATAGTGGAGGATTAAACAGAATTGGAGGATTTTTGTTTTACTTCAAACTAAATGTGACAGTTTGAGTGAGCGGCAGGGTGATTAAACCTTAAGTTGCCTTTTGTTATGAATAATTATCACCATGGAAACTATTTACAATGCACTACATTTGCTTTGTGGTGAACAGCGTTAAAATGACAGAATTTAGTTGGCCTTCGTGGTTCTGAATCCACCCTGAGATATATGATACCTGTAGCCGACTTCCACTTAGCCTAAAACAAATAAAATATCACTGTGATGGCAGAACAGTTTTTGTCCCATTTTTTTAAAGTTTGCAAAGATTCCATTCTGTGAAGGCTTTTGTTTTCTCGTATTGCCGTGCAGAAAAATTGCCTGGAAGATGTCTGAATAATGTTCTGTATATCGCTATGGTAACTGTACTTTTTCAATAAATGAACCTCGTATTAGTTATATATTATAGGTTCAAAGAGACTAAATCTGTTTTTTATTAATTCCACTGTTGGTCTGTTTGATCAAATAGAAATAGAGGCCTGCCTCTAATTCTGGCCTCCTTCCAATAATGGCCTGGACCACGATGCACCTGAGTGAAATAAAGGCCCTGTCCTATATTAGAGGATTTACGGTAAGCAGATCAGTGCAGCCCGTCCCTGCAGGTCTGAGGTTCTGCCGCCAGAGGGCGCCGTCTCACCTTTTTCAGCAGCCTGCATGTAGTCAGACACTCTGATGGTTCCTCCCTCCTTCTCACCTGCAACCAGAGGAGAGAATCAGAACCCTGAAAACAGCTTTGGAGGCCTGATGACATCAGAAACCTTCACTGCAGCTCTTTTTATCTGTGGTTCTGGAGCCAGCAGAGGAGGTTCCACTCTGAGGTCATGTGACCTGTGTAATTGTAACAGGGCAGCAGCGTCCCTCCTTACCGATGACCCCGAGGTCAGCGGCGCGTTCGTAGTAGTAGGAGAAGGCGTAGAAGTCCACGTCTGGCGCCTCAGACGTTCTGCTCAGCTTCCTGTACAGAACTTTCTGCACCTTGTTCCGGCACGCCTCATAAACCGGCTCCCCTGAAACAAAGCACAAAGGTTCCTACCCGCCGCAGCTGCATGCTGGGTAATCTCTGATCTATGGGGACCAGTGGGATCCCTTTACCTGGCTTCTGACCCTTCAGGGCGTAGACGGCGTTGGCGTGCTCCCAGCGACCAGAAAACCCCGGGGGGAGGCAGGGGCTGACCAGCTCAGTGCTGCCCCCTACGGCTGGAAGCACAGAACAGCGTCATACAGGCTACTTCCTGCTTCCTGTGCCCACCCCTCACCCCCTGGTCACATGTTTCCATGGCAACCACTCCGCCTAGAACCTCCTGAATCTGCAGCTCATTGGTTCTTCATGGTGTTCCACAAAGTCTGTCTGATGGTTCTGGTTCTGGTCCTCATGGGGAACCCAGCAGAACCAGTACCTGCTCTAGAACTACCTGCTGTAGAACGACCTGCTCTAGAACTACCTGCTGTAGAACGACCTGCTC